GTGCTGTTTACAACTAGTCCTGGAGACTCTGATATGTGCTGTTTACAACTAGTCCTGGAGACTCTGATATGTGCTGTTTACAACTAGTCCTGGAGACTCTGATATGTGCTGTTTACAACTAGTCCTGGAGACTGATATGTGCTGTTTACAACTAGTCCTGGAGACTGATATGTGCTGTTTACAACTAGTCCTGGAGACTGATATGTGCTGTTTACAACTAGTCCTGGCCCACTGAGACACCACCTTATAAACTGCAGATCCCTGACTGGAACATGTAGTACAGCTGAAGTATGGACCTCACCATCACTGGGTGAATGTGTATATGAATGAGTGAATGATTGAAGCTGTTTGGAGCAGGGACTTGATAAAGCTCAGCAGTAAAAACAGGAGGTGAAACACATGAACAGTTACGTTCCTGGTTCTCAGTGTACCAGTAAATACCAGTAAATACCAGTAAATACCAGTAAATACCAGTAAATACAGTTGATGGAAGTGTACTGCACCTACATTCGCCTCCATGATTAAAGCCAACATGGACTCAGGGTTTGTTTTGGATTCTGCTCTCAGCTCCTGCCAGGTGGTCCAAGGTAAGGGTGGCTGTAAGTCCATCATCTGTAAGGAGATCAAGCTGAATCATCAGGGTCTGTATGTGACGACACCACTTCAAACTTTAAAAACACGGCTGCTATGCTGAACTCCAGTAAGCCCAGCTGCAGACCAACAGCTGCTACATGCTACATAAACAACACCAGGCGCAGCTCGTGTTCTGCTGTAAAGACAAATCATGTGAAAGTGTTTCAGCTCAGCAGTACCCAGCCGTAGATGTGCAGCTCTTTGTTTCTGAGCTGCAGCTCTGTCTGCAGGGACTCTTCAGTGCTGCAGTCGTTCAGGCAGAACTCCATCAGCTCCAGACAGGTGGACAGAGGCCAGTGCTCCAGYGCCTGCAGGGCCACCCGGGCTCGCAGGCTGGCATCCTGCACACGGAACAACTGAGCCACGCCTTCAGCTCCGCCTGAAACACACCAACATCAACAAGACTTTCAGACATTTCACCCATTCTTACACAATGTAACTCATTACTGAGAGAAATGTTTTCAAATGTTTTAATCAAGACATTTGAAAGTAAAAAAGTACTTGTCACTAAAGTGACAGTGAATAAAACGTTAACAGTTATTTAAGGTCACACAAAGAGGACCTGTTTTCAGAGATCTTCTTGTGCTCAATGAAAAGACAAACTAAATGAGTCCTAACATTTGTTGAAGACGTGCACACGCCCACTGCCTSGCATGTTTTACAACAGTTAATGCTCAGAGGAAGTGATGGGAGTGACTCTGCTACAATCACAAACATTAACAGGACTGAGTGGGCTGTGGCGTCACTTTCACTTGGTTTGTGTTTAATATTTAATCAGCTGTAAACYTACAACCACTGATTACAAACATGTTTGATGATTATAAACAAATGTACATAAAATTAGGATTCAGACCAAACAGTAATGTAGTATCATAACCAACAAGACAAATGAAGTCATACAGTATCTCTGGATAAGTTTGATACTTACTCATGATATGTTACTCTTACCTGCTACACAAATGGTGCAGTACACATATTCTAGAATACCTGTATCTGATAACCACTACTATCATCAGTTATGTTGTACACCCTGCCTGCACTGTTCTGTTATTTCTGTTGTTGTTGTTTTCTTTGCTGTTTTAGTTATTTGCTGTTRGACATTTAAACTTTACACTGTATATATTATCCTAAATTTTTGTTTATTTACTCTGGGCATTTACTGCAAACTGAATTCTGTATTCTGTATTGTCTTTATTGTTTATAGRGAGTCAAAGGGTTTCTTCTCATCCTAAGAATTTCATTGCATTGTTGACTCTTGTTAGCCTGCATGTGACAATAAATGAATCCTGATGTCAGGATGATCCAGGTATCAAAATGTAGCTTTTAAAGCCAAGAATCTGAAAATGTAATGAGGTCATTTTGACCTAATTAGACTTACTCCTCATGTCGATGGGTCACATATATGGTGCAGTAAACTAGAATGTCTTCAGACCATCATAAGCTCACATCTGATAAAAGAAGCAGCTGGTTGCTCACCTTGTAAAGCAGAACAGGCCAACAAGCAGTCTGTGAGCGCCCTCTGCTGGCTGSCACCTGACCCGTACAGTTCCAGCAGACTGAGGGCTCGGCTCAGGTCCTTGGAGGTCAGAGCGCTGTGAAAGGCCTCAGCAGCCACAGCCTGAGCTGCCTCCTCCTGAGGCCCGGACAGCAGCAGACTGACCAGAGCTGTTCCACAGATCCCTGCCTCCAGTCCAGCAGAACCTTCCTTACCTACAGAGGAGCCCAGGACTGGTTCTGCCATGGTGTGAAGGTAGGCCCGTAAAATAGGGAAGTCCTTTAAAAGCTCATTGGCTTCTTGAGAAATCTGCTCAGCGTCCAGGACCACATCCTTATGGCTGCTGCGGAAGTATCCGGTCCATCCGGAGGACTGGGTGCGGGCAGGTTCTCCCTTACAGGCACTCAGACAGGTCAGGGTGGCCAACAGAGGACAGCGGGACTTCAGGAAAGACAGCGCAGATGCTGTGAGCAGGAAAGAGTTAGCAGAAGAGGAGGAGGACGATGATGACTGAGAGGGTGGAGATGAGGACAGGTTGATGAGGGTAGTGGACGGGTCCTCAGCTGACACCTCAGACTCAGAGCTCTCATCACACAGAGACTCTGGGATCCCCAGGATGCTCAGGTAACTCTGGGCGTGTTGCTGCAGCAGCAGGAACAAGGAGGAAACACTGAACGCTCCATCGCTGCTCCTGCTTTCACCAGAGTCTCCTTCCTCACCTGGACAGGTGGTCCAGACCGGCAGAAGCTCACAGCATCTCTGAACAATCACCTGCTGGACGCTGAGCCGGAGTCCCTCCTGCTGCAGCAGGGAGTCAACTCTGCACACGAAACAAGACCAACATTAAAACCTGTGGACAAGTGTAAAATGTGACGGACAGTTTAAAGTGTCCTCACTGCACCATGCTACAGTGAGGACAGGGAAGAATGGCTGCTGCTTCTGCTACTCTTTCTTTGGTATAACTGTTCTTTTCATTTTCAGCTTGTCTGCTGCTGTGACAAAACCAGCTTCCCTCAGGAGTCAGTATAATTCTCTTCTACTAACTTTATAAATATTTTAACTCATAAATGCACTGGAATCGTTTCCTTCAAATATTGTTTTGTTTCAACAAATCTGCTTCATCAAATATCTCATATTCTTGTTTTCTTTTGCCTCTTTTCAGCTTTTTCTTCCATTCCTTTTAGCAAGTTCTTGTCTTCTTTTAGATTTTAGCAAGTTTCATATTACTGAGGTCATTAAGCAGCCTTCTGCTACATTTAACAGATCTTTGTAGCTAGCCCTTTCTTACTGTTACATTTAGTTAACTCTTGCTACTATTAACTTCCAACTAACGTTTTTCCACTTTTAGCTAGCCTTTTGCTTTTCTTAGCTAGCCTTTTGCTTTTCTTGGCTAGCATTTTGCTATTCTTAGCTAACCTTTTGCTATTCTTAGCTAGCCTTTTGCTATTCTTAGCTAGCCTTTTGGTATTCTTAGCTAGCCTTTTGCTATTCTTAGCTAGCCTTTTGCTTTTCTTAGCTAGCATTTTGCTATTCTTAGCTAGCCTTTTGCTATTCTTAGCTAGCCTTTTGCTATTCTTAGCTAGCCTTTTGCTACGTTTCATTTTTAGCTCATGATCTGGTCCTTTTAACTTTGACTACTCAGTTTCAGTAAAATCCTTCAACATGAGTGTGAACTCTTACAAAACTAAGCCATGAATTTTAAGGAGGAAAATAAAGCATAATATCATTTTCAATCAGTCATATTTACTTTAGCATTTCTCCCCACTTTGTTTTTATTTGAGAGAAAACTGYACATTGAACTCTTTGTAATTAGACATAAGCAAGAAGACCAACAATTTCTAAACAAAATCAACTTGATGGGTCAAAGATCACCTGTCATGTGACAGTATTACACTCAGGTCATCTTAAGATGAAAAAAGAGGAAGTTTTAGCCACTTTGGCAAACCTTAAAATATGGGAACATGAGTCAGTTTGCTCATATGATATTGTGAGTTTTTTGAGATGTGTTAATGTTCAGAGAATGACGTCAGGATGATTCTCAAATACAACCACACCTAAATTTACCTCAATATCTCTACAACTCACGGAGCTATTTCCACATTTTGGTTGGCAAATGTTTATTAGCTGTGATGGCAGTCTTCTTGCAGATTGTTGTTGACACATTATCAGAACAGAGCATTCTTTCCAGTGGGGTCTAAAAACTACTGTGAAAATCTGTATTTGAAAAATATATTAAAAAAGGGGGAGGGGGGGGTAAATTTACAAAGACTGTGTGTTGGGACTAAAGAGTGGAGACGCTGGTTGGAGGTAATAATTTCTGGAGGAGAACCCTGTGAGAACTTCCCAGGAGTTTTACACTTTATTTTTTCCTGATGGACTTTGTGCTTTTGTTCTTGACAGCTCAAGAAAAGCATTTTGTTTGTTTTTTGCCAAGTATGCAACAAATTTTCCTATAATTTAGTAGGTTGTTTTCTTAATGAAAATGCTTTTTACAGTGCAAAGAATCTTTATTAGTTTTATTTCGTCGACCTGTGTTAGTGAGGAGCAGGGTGACGCACTTTACCAACATGTTACATCATGTTTGTAGTCTGTGTAACATTTAGTCACATCAAAGCTAAAGCTGCTTCTGCTTCCACGAAAACAAGAGTGATGTCTTCTTGGAAAAACTCACATCAGAAAGGGGATTTTCTGAGAAACTTTAAATTTCCCATAATAATGCTGTCAGACACCGGTCATATCCTGAGCTTTACCACATACATGCTGTGACAACATTGCAAGCTTTCTGTGCATATGCACTGTTGATACATGAGGACCCTGACCTGCCACAAAATTTTATGTAGTTCACGAGAGCTTCAAAGGTGTATTAATGTCTCAAAATAAGTTCATGCTGCTTTAAAGCCAGCGTTGACCATTTGACCATTGACCAACTGCATTTCCCATAATATATGTAGATTGCTTTACTCGTAAAATGGCAGCATCCCACCARGAGGTCGGGGAGCACAGGGTTCAAAATAGTGTAGCCAGCAGAAATGCAGCTAAATGAAAATTTTTCTTGACAAATTTCCCCATCACTTTGTGAATAAAATAAACAACATGCATGTTGGGACATGTAGGCTACATTGCCTCTCCCTGGGCTGCCACCTTATGGTGGTGGGGAGGCTGGAGTGTCCCAATGGTCCTAGGAGCTATGTTTAGGGTCACCCAAGGCAAACAGGTCCTAGGTGAGGGATCAGACAAAGTGCAGCCCGAAGACCCCTATGATGAACACAATAAATGGAGTCAGTGTTCCCTCGCCTGGACGCGGGTCACCAGGGCCCCACTCTGGAGCCAGGCCTGGAGGTGGGGCACGTTGGTGAGCACCTGGCACAGACTGAAGAGGAGATGTGGGTCCCCCTTCCCATGGCCTCACCACCTGTAGGAGGGGCCGTAGGGGTCAGGTTGTGTGTTGGACAGTGGTCGATGGTGAGGACCTTGGCGGTCCGATCCTCGACTACAGAAGCTGGCTCTAGGGACGTGGAATGTCACCTCTCTGGTGGGGGAGGAGCCTGAGCTGGTGTGTGAGGTTGAGAGGTTCTGACTAGATATAGTTG